CTGCCTCAGCCTCCCAAGTAGCTGGGACCACCCGCCACAACGCCTGGCTATTTTTTGGTTGCAGCCGTCATTGTTGTTTGGTGGGCCGGGCTGGATTCGAACCTGCCACCTTAGGTGTATGTGGCTGGCGCCTTAGCCACTTGAGCCACAGGCGCCGAGCCAGGCTTCAGGCTTTTAAGAAATAATATTTTATTAGCTGCAAATACTCACAGTACTTTGAAGATTTATAAAGTTCTTTTATTCCAGTAGAAACTATTAGGGAACCAGTTTCAGTAACTCAATAAATCTATAAGACTAGTTTATAATTAGGATATCTATTTCTGGTGTACATTCCTGCCTGTGTTAGCTAAATATCTAGGAATAATAGCTTTGCTCTCCTGTGTTAAAAATGAGAAAAATTACCAATTAGTTGAGTTTGCATAGCATGTGACTTGTTGATTCATATTAAGAAGGATGTCACCAGCCAACTGTCCGTGGGCCTGGCACACACTTCTTCGTCCCTCCTCACCTGCAGACCCACCACCTCTCTGACAGAGAAGGGAGGCTGTGGCCTGGTTGGGCTGGCCCCTCAGAGGCCTATCCCTCCCTCTGTCCTCTGCCTCTGCAGCCCTCCCGCTCTCAAACCTCTATGAGACCCTGGGAGTTGTTGGATCGACCACCACTCAGCTATACACAGACCGCACAGAGAAGCTGAGGCCTGAGATGGAGGGTCCCGGCAGCTTCACCATCTTCGCCCCCAGCAATGAGGCGTGGGCCTCCCTACCTGCTGTGAGATGACCTCTTTCTGCTCAGGGGACTCTTACTGGGGACTGTCTTACCTCTCTGAGGGGTGGGCATGAAGAATGGGATTCCCTATTCATTTTCTACTATTTCAGGAAGGTTTTCCCTAAACTGCTCAGGTGGAACTTGTGCTAAAATATACCCCACTAGAGTATGTCCAGTGCCCTGTCTGCCCCATTGGATAGACAGACTTTGGTGCCCCCTGGGGAAGGAGCCATGGCAGAGAGAGGCCTAGGTTCTCAGGGTTGCTAAGACCCATGTCATGGACACAGGGTCTGCTGCTCCTGACTGTCACCCTGTCCTTTTCTTCTAGGAAGTGCTAGACTCCCTGGTCAGCAACGTCAACATCGAGCTGCTCAACGCCCTTCGCTACCACATGGTGGGCAGGCGGGTCCTGACCGATGAGCTGAAACATGGGATGGCCCTCACCTCCATGTACCAGAATTCTGACATCCAGATTCACCACTATCCTAACGGGGTAGGGGTGCCCAGATGCACAGCATGGTCCTTTGTCCACAATGAGCCGGGTTGTGGTCCTCTGTGGGGCTGGTTTCTGGGTTTTATCCTGCAGTATTGACAAGCTGTAGACAGCCCTGCCTCCTGTGTGGGCCTCTCCCCAGCCCTCTAGTTCCACAGAGACTGCTCTACCACACTAACTGCTCGTCCTTGCTTCTTCGGGTAGATTGTCACCGTCAACTGTGCCCGGCTGCTGAAAGCTGACCACCACGCAACCAATGGAGTGGTGCATCTCATCGATAAAGTCATCTCTACCATTACCAACAACATCCAGCAGATCATCGAGATTGAGGACACCTTTGAAACCCTTCGGGTAAGAGCCTGCCCTGGGTGGAAACCCAGGCTTGGGACATACCACCTCCCAGGGGGGCCTGGCAGGACCTTCTCTTCAGAGAGAGCAGAGGGTGGCTCACGTGGGGAACCATGGAGCAAGTTCCTATGAATGCCCGTGGCCACGGACAGTCCCCTAATCAGACACTGGATCCAACCTGTGAAACTCCCTCTGTCTGTCTTCTTTGTAAGGCATTTCTTTTTTTAGAATACCCTGGGAAAGGTCCCCAGTTTGTGGCTATATCAGCAAAGTCTGGGCTACCTGGCTCTTCCCTGCAGGCTCCAGAGATAAGAGGGGCCTTCATCCCAGGTGGCAAGTCCTGTGAGGGGGACTCGAATAAATGGCCCATCAGGCTGCATGGTGCCTTTGGACCACATTTGCTACCCTAGGACCCTTGCTCCAGCCATTTCCGTGTTTCCTTGGAGCCCAGACCAGCAGAGAGGCCTTCAGGTGGATATCAGGGTCTGACCTGGCTTCCAACTGCTCTGGGGCCACAAGAATACTGTTCCTTCTCCCCATTCTGGCAGGAATCTGTCTCACAACTGGAGGGACAGGCAAGCGTTCCTCTTGGCAGCCACTGCTCAGGAGGAAGTGGACACAGGCTGCCTTGTCAGGGCTTTTGCTCTGGTTCAAGAAGAACTTCCTAACCACAAAGGATATAAGGGGGAGTAGGGCAGTCCTTCCCTGGAGATCTCCAACACAGAGAGACAAACACATTCAGACCAGCTGGCATTGCAGGGTCCCAGCAAGCAGAGGCTGCTCTTAGCTGGCTCTGGAAGGCTCTGGGAGCCTAGCTGTCCAAGGTCTTCTACCCTGGTTTTCTGGGTCACTCAAAGGACAGGGATTTGCCAGAGAATGATGTTCCTGCAAAGCTAGTTGCACATATTTTACTTAACAGCATTAGATCCCATTGAGTAATCCTCCTTTCACTCGTTAGATTTGGTAAATATTCCTTCCTTCCTCTTGGACCCTTGCTAGCATCCATCTTTCCTTCTTCTAACACAGCTTATTAAGCACCTGCTACTTCCCAGGTAGTTCTGTGCGCCAGGGATATAGAGGTGCCCAAGGCAGACAGATTTCTATCCTCAGGGGAGCTAGTATTTTATCTGGGGGAGACAAACAAGACACAAATCAACGAGGTAGCCACAGGATGTGAGCGACGTGGAGTGAGAAGTGAGGAACAGCAGTCGTGAGGGAGACCAGCTGGGACTTCAGGGCCAGGCAGGTCTCTGCGATGGGTGGCTTCAGAGCTGAAGTTTGCAGAGTAAAGGTGGGACAGGTAGGAGTGTACCCATTTGGCAGGGAGCGAAGCCTCAGAACCAGACCAGCAAGGAAGTGGCCAGCAGGCTAGGAAGAAAAACATCAACAAGTGAGGGCAGGGTGGCCAGGCCGCATCCTGCAGGACCCTACAGCCTGGGCAGACCGGGGGGAGTCTGTCTCCAGAGATGGCAGGAGGCCACTTAGGCTTTTATAAGATCCTTCATGCTCCGTGTAGAGAATGGGTGATGCCCCATCCTCACACACATGGAGCTGGTGTAACTGATCCCCAGTCACTAGTTAATCTCAAGGTGAAAGGATCAAACTCACTTTCGTCTGGGGGCAGGATGGGTTGGGAGATGTGCCACAATGAACTCCCAGAGAAATGACATTTTAATGGAAGAAGGAATAGAGTCAGAGAAGCAAAGGAAGGACAGAGGGAACAACAGGGGCAAAGGCCTGGAGGGAAAGAGGACAGTCCTATTAAGTGCCTGAACGAGAGCCATGTGGCTGGAGCTCAGACCAAGCATGGTCCCCTGGTGAGAGCAAACTTTACTTCTGTTCTCTTTTCATCCTGGGCTTCTGCGAAAGCTTTGAGCCCTCCAGGGAGGACTGACGAGGTCGTGGGTGCCTCTTGCTCCAACAACCCCAGATCCATCAAGGAGTGCTCTATCCTTTCCCCTCCCATAGGCTGCTGTGGCTGCATCAGGACTCAACACCTTGCTGGAAGGTGATGGCCAGTTCACACTCTTGGCCCCAACCAATGAGGCCTTTGAGAAGATCCCTGCTGAGACCCTGAACCGGATCCTTGGAGACCCAGAGGCCCTCAGAGGTGAATATCCTTCAGCTCCTGCTGCTGCCACGTTGGAGTGGCCAGGCTGAACCTAAGTCTTGTTCTAGTCCAAGATGGACATACCACCTGCCATGAGGTGATGCTCAGGACACCCTCTACAGCTGTGTCTTAGAGCTGTCCTGTCCTATTGCTTACCGATAGCCATGTCTTTGCAGAAGCCAGAGCAGAGCCCCACCCTGGCTCTGGGGAGACAAGTACAAGTAGAAAATCCAGGAGCCTTTGTCTAGGGACACAGTTGGGCTATGGAGGGAGGCAGGGCTGGAGGTCCACAGCTGGTCCTGGCCAGACATAAGGAATAGGAAAGGCTCCAGTGGCCAAAGCCAGGACAAAGCTGTCAGGTGGAGCACCAGCTTGGAGGTGTTGGGTAGGGACAGTCCCCCAGTAGGTTCTGGCATCCTTGACATGAAATCCTTAGTGTCAACCCTTAACTCTTCCTATGTCTGGCCACCAACCTCAGGAATAAGCCAGAATTACAGTTAGATGCCAGTAATAGTCAACTCTGGACTCTCCATTGGTGGTTCTGTCCTCCCTTCCTCAGGGAGCTGCTGAGTGCCCCCTCTCTGTACCAGGACCTCTTCCGGGTCATGAGCACAAGCTGCTGCCTGACAGTCCTGGAGTCCCCTAAAGAGGACAGTAGGCCCAGGTCCCCCATGCGTCCCAACAACCACGCTATTCTTCCTAATGCAACCTAGAATGACTTTTGAGTCTGTTTAGACCCAGCTTTGCAATGTGCTCTTTACGATGCCGAATGCATTTCAGACACTGTAAATTTAAAATGTTCTCCTTGCCATGCAGGAGTGGGAAAGGGCGCATTTCTGAAAGCACAGATGGGATCTGTTCTGTGTCCAGATGGTGGTGGGGACTCTATGTGCCTGGCCTGTGCTGTGAACTGAGGCCGCAGCAGTGAATACAGTAGCTCTTTGTCTGCAAGGCAGTGAAGGCCGACTGGGATTGCAGGCTTACAAACAGATTGTTGGGATCCGGTGTGGTGACTGCAGTGACAGAGATACCCACAGCACAACATGGGGGTAAGGGGTTGGGGCAAGGGCTGGGGCACGAGCAGCCTCGAAGCACTCGAAGGCCTGCAGGAGGGGAGACTGAGATGCATCTCAGAGTATTTTGCCTTCCATTCATAGCTGTGTTCTCTACTAAAACATTTTTTTATATACAGCCTGTTTTTATCTTCACAGATCTCAGAACTCCTTATTATAAATTATAAGGGGTAAAAAAGGCCTCTAATTCATCCCTTTTGTAAACCTGCCTTTTCCTACCTCAGTAACCAGCTTGCCCAAAGCAAGGGCCCCTGTCTGATGCTATTGCTGCAGACTATGGCCTGGGTGTCCCGGCGGTCTCCCATTGTCATGAGCAGGGTAGCAGGCAGGTGAGGAGCAGCCTGGGCTAGCATGCCTTGTTTGAAGACTGACCCAGCTCACCTTCTGAGTGGCCCTGGCAGAGCCCCCTACCCTTCCTTTTCTGAGAAGCCGACTCCCCAAGGCCTCATTCCCATACGGTCTTCTTCCCCTCCGGCTGATTGTGGTTAGCCCTGCTGTCAAGGCCATTGATGGGTCTGCATGGCTTGATGCCTCTGTATGTCCTGAACTTCCTCCTGTCCATAACACTGTGGTTTTGGTTCCCATGCTCAGAGACAGATTGAGAATATAAAACAAAGAGCTACGCTGACCTTGGTGAGCAACAGTCTGGGAACCTGCTTGGCCAGAGTCGGGCACATCCTCCTTGACCAGTCCTTGCAGCTGCCTCTGTCCCACCTGCCTGGGCTCTCTGAGGTGATGGAAGTCAGCAAGTGCCATCACTGGGTCAGGACCACCCCCTGCCCTGCCTGCCCTGCCCCTAAAGTAGCCCTCAGACAAGCAAATAAACTATTATATTTGTTATTTATGGGTGTGGTGATTAGAGTGTCAAAGGCTGTGCCTTCTTGATCACCATTCCCAGCCCCTAAGACAGATCCTGGAAACTAGTAGATTTTTGGGTAAAATGAACAAAAATCTGGACAAATAAAACACACAAGTAATTCAAAACTGCTCTTTACTACAGTTCCCATCTTTTCTTGCCATGTTGTACATTTTTATGCAGGTCAGTAGACTTAAAAATCCCCCGGCAGGTTCTGGGAGTTGTCCCTTTATCCCTGATACTCAGCTATCGATAGGCTCGTGACAAATGTTGCTTTGCATTTACTCTCTTCTGAGGCACTGCTCCGTGCCAGCTGCTCTGCCTTGAGGATTTCATGTCATCCCTACACCCACCATAGGAGGTAGTGCTATTTTTATCCTAACTAATAAGGGAAGTTGAGACTCAAAGAGGTTAAGTGACTTGCATGGGCACCCATAACTGGATGGGGGCCGTGGGACCCAAACCCAGGCATTCTGACTGCAGAGCTCCAGCTATTCTTTGAGGGAAGCAGGCAGGAGGGCAAGAGGACTGTCCAGTTGTGCCCTGGCCTTTTCTGAAGGTTCACATCTGAGAGAATGAAGTCCTAGGGCAGACCCTGATTTGACTTGTGTCCATCTGGCCCCCAGACCTGCTGAACAACCACATCCTGAAGTCAGCCATGTGTGCTGAAGCCATTGTGGCAGGGCTGTCTGTGGAGACCCTGGAGGGCACTCCGCTGGAGGTGGGCTGCAGTGGGGACATGCTCACCATCAATGGGAAGGCCATCATCTCCAATAAAGATGTCCTGGCCACCAATGGTGTCATCCACTTCATCGATGAGCTGCTCATCCCAGATTCAGGTAGGCCAGGCTCCAGGGGACCTCTGTCCTGCCCGTCCACAGTTCCTTCTGCCATCACTCTAGGCCAGGGGTCCTCAAACTTTTTAAACAGGGGGCCAGTTCACTGTCCCTCAGACCGTTGGAGGGCCAGACTGCAGGCCCCAGGATGAGTCAGCTGCTAAGCAAGACAGGCAGCAGCAGCAAAACACTCGACGGGCTGGATAAATGTCCTAGGCGGGCCGCATGTGGCCTGTGGGCCGTAGTTTGAGGACGCCTGCTCTAGGCAGTGTTAGGGAGACTCAGGGATCTTTGGGGCTGCTTCCCTGCCTGGACCCACAGCCTCTCAGCCACCACCAATGGGGATTGTGCCCAGACTATGAAGGTCTTGAGCTTTGGGCGTGGAGGTCTACCCGTTACCTTGGAGGAAGTAGGGAGCCATTTAAGATTTCTGGGGAGGGATACACAACCTCAGAAGCCTTTCAGAAGACCTGCCCACAGTGGCTGTGTACAGAGGCCATTTGTTTATTTGCTTTCTCAATAGTGCCCAAGCCAAATCAAGGTCACTAACCCAGGGCAAATGGCAGTATGGACTTTGGTTTGTGTTTCATTCAGCATCCTAGCCCTATTCTGAAATATTGCCCTTAAGCAAAAGGATCTCACAGGAAAAAAACCCAATACTTTTTCTATGGGTGTGGTCACTGGCCTTACCCACTCTTCTGAAACCATAACACAGAGGATGCTGCCTTCCTTCCCAGCTCTAGACAGTGTCCCCAAGCTGCCTCTGGGGTCTGGGGCAGAGGCTGACCTCTGCCAAGCTGAAACTCACCTTGACTGGTTAGATTTTCTGGGCCACTGTTCCCCTGATAATAGAAACCCACCGGGGCCCTGCAGTGTTTAGAAGGATTGTTGACTCACGCGATGACATTCCTACTGATGTGTGTCATGCCCTCGTGGATGAATGATAAGTGAAAACAGCACTTTTAACTTTTGAACCCACTTTCTCCTTCCTCATAGCCAAGACGCTATTTGAGTTGGCTGCAGATTCTGACGTTTCCATAGCCGTTGACCTTTTTAGACAAGCTGGCCTCGGAACTCATCTCTCTGGAAGTGAGCGGTTGACCCTCCTGGCTCCCCAAAATTCAGTGTTCAAAGGTAACATGGGGAAGCATCCCTGTTTGTCTGTCCCTGGAGGCAGCCTCCCCACCCTGTCCCATCCACAGCACTCTCCTTGAGTTACAGCACCCACAGGGACATTAGAACTCCCACCCAGCTCAACCGAAAGCAGATGTGACTCCAGCAGGAGCTTCAGGGGCTCTATTGTTTCCTTAGCCAGAGCAGACAGTGCATTTAGGGTTCTCTTCCTCAGAACTCCAGGCTTTGATTCTGTCTGAAGAGCAGCAGAATGTTCCCTGGCCTTTTTATTTGCAGAATGCCAATGTATAGTCAGGAGATCAGAGTGAGGATACAGCTGAGCTGCAGCCACAGGCAAGGCAGAGAAAGAAGCCAAGTTGTGTGCGTGCCTGCCCTTCCCTCTTAGGGCAAAACTCCAAACACCCTTCATTAGCTGGGCCTTCTTTATTCCCTTTTTTTCCTCAGATTAAAATGAGGGTACGTACAATTAGGTCACAATGTTCACATTTATCTAGACCTTTAATTTTTTCTCCCCAAAAGATGCCAGATGTTAAGCAATTTTGGCAGCCTCACCTGATTTCTCATCTCCATCCTCAAACTCTAGGAGGGATGGGCTTCTCCCTGTATTTGTCTCTCATCAATCTCTTCATTTTGAGAGCATGTCTCTCTGGACCTAACCACACCTCCTCCTGCAGATGGAACCCCTCAAATTAATGCCAATGAGAAGACTCTGCTTCTGAACCACATAATTAAAGACCAGCTGGCCTCCAAGTATTTGTACCATGGACAGACCCTGGAAACTCTGGGAGGCAAAAAACTGAGAGTTTTTGTTTATCGTAATGTAAGTTCCGGATCTTAAATCTTCTGTGTTGGTTTCAGCTCTAAGAAATGGAAGTCGTATTTTTTTTTTAAAGTAATCAATAAGCAGGAGCATGCATGAGAACTAGTTCCTGGTGAAGAAAGAAACAATCTCTGGGAAGTAGATAAGTGCATATGAATCAAAATGAGATTTTGTAGAAAGATTAGAGTCCTTTTCCTGGAGGCCTTTGAGAATAAACCACACACCTCTGTGACCCAGATTGTTAAGCAGGAGATCCACCTTGAACTCAGAGATGAACATGCAGGAGGAGGGATAGGTTTGGAATCCCTCTGAGCTTATGTGGAAAGAAACCCCCAGAGCTGAAGCACAGCCCTTCTTGATTACAAAAGGTCTCCTCTCCTTTCTCCTGTCTCTTCTGTGTCTTCAAACCCAACAGCTACTCTAGAATGTCAAATAGGAAGTACAGCTTAACATAGCTCTTTCCTGGAGGCCTTTGAGAATAAACCACATGCCTCTGTGACCCAGATTGTTAAGCAGTAGATCCATCTTGAACTCAGAGATGGCAGCACCATTTGGCTAAAGATGGTTGTCATCCATTACAAAAATAAATAAATGGACATGTTCTATTTGTTTGATTGTGGTCAGTGGACCTCAGTTGGAACTGATACTCTCATTATGGGGCCTCTGTGTCACTTTACTGGGGTCTCTTTGGGCATTCTTTCCTCAAAGAAGACCATTTCTATTGTTTTATTTCCTGGTGAAAAAATATATCATTTTATCCTAGTCTTAATTAGCCACCCCAGTATATGTTCACTGACCTTTGTGGGTGAAGCCATCAGCCCATGCCCTGAACAAACCCAAAGGCTTCCCCTTGGGGGACTAACCTGCCCTTTGTGTCCCTGCCCCTCTTCTGTGCAGAGCCTGTGCATTGAGAACAGCTGCATTGCTGCCCACGACAAGAGGGGACGGTACGGGACCCTGTTCACTATGGACCGGGTACTGACCCCCCCAATGGGGACTGTCATGGATGTCCTAAAGGGAGATAGCCGCTTTAGGTAACTTGTCCCATCCCAGGGTGGGGCTTCTGCCAAATAGTTGTGCTGGGCAGGACGCTGGGCCTCAGCCATTTGTCAAGCCCCCCAACTCCTTTGGGGGTTTAGATAACAGTAGCAGTGCACCGGTGTAACCTTCCAGGCCTGGGCTGGGGTAAGGATGAGGGTCACTTTGAAAGGCTGATGTGGGAAGCAGAGTTACCTTCTGGGAGTGTGATCCTCACATCCGTGGGAAGCGGGTTAGGGGGCTACACTTTTATTATTGAAGTGTGAGGAAAACCTCACTCTTTGTCTTAAAGTCCCAAGTGAGCTGAGAGCCCATAATTTTGACAAATTTATGAGATTTATGAGAAATCTCTTGCTCTCTGTGTGGTATCTCCTTATCAAGCCCTAAGCTGGGTGATTTTCGTGTCCTGCTCTCTCCGTTTCTGACTTGTTCATTCACCATGGCATGCTACCATGTTGACTGTTTCCCTGTCACTGGCGTCAGCCACCTGCATGAGGGCCTGGAAGACCACACACCTGCTGCCCTCCCGGAATCACATCCCCAGGGCCCAGGGGCTCAGCCAGTCTCTGGGCCAGCCATGCCGCTGCCCTTCTCCTTCCTTCTGCCTTGAGTCTCTGACTTGTAGCCATTTAACTGATCTCAGCCCTTATGCCTGCAGACTGGAATGGTTTCCTCTTTGTACACAGGGAGGGCATGAAAACCAAGCTGTGTGCCTTGCAGTGGTCTGGGCTCTGCTACCACCCCTGGGGAGGTATTTGAGAAAAATGTCTCCTTGCCATCCTGGCAGGTGACATTTTCTGTGTGTATCCACAGTATGCTGGTAGCTGCCATCCAGTCTGCAGGGCTAACAGAGACCCTCAACCGAGAAGGAGTCTACACAGTCTTTGCTCCCACAAATGAAGCCTTCCAAGCCATGCCACCAGAGGAACTGAACAAACTCTTGGGTAAAGACCAACCTAAATATATATTTCTACTTTTCTGAAGTAATAATCCAGCAGGAAATAGTTGGCACAGTACAAAGGGGTTGATTCAAAAGAATTTAATGACAAGACTATTTGTACCAGTATGGGCAGGATTAAAGGAGCCAGAAAAGGGTGATGACACCCAGGGACCAGTAGCCATAGAAGCAGGTACCACCCCAAGCCTTGTACCTGAGAAAGTGAGGGCAGGAACTAGGGAGAGAGAAACAGAGGCCGGAGCTGTGTGAGGCCACTGTCAGAACCATGGCAAGCGGGCCACTCAGTATGCCAGCCTCCCCTTCCTCCCACATACCTGTTGGGTCTCCTGTTAGCCAGTCACAGGAGGATGGGGACACCTGGGTGATGTATAGCAGTTCATGGAGGTTAGCTGCCTGGGGCACCACACCAGGCAGAGAAGAGAAGAAAGGAACCGAAGGTAGAAATGACCAGTCCACTCACTGCAGCATGTTTTCTACTGGAGACCTGTGAGAACAGTGCTAATGGAGCCATTTACCGGCATTATATGTCCTTTGGGATAAAAGCTTTTCCTGAGAAGTCTAGTTGAGCTTATTTGGGAGGCAATTGAATGGTTAGTAAAAATGAGGATGGTTAAGAGTGCCTTGCTCAGTGTGTTGTCGAGATTAAATGGGTTGCTGCATACAGTGCTAGGCACACATCCTCAGTCAGTAAGAGTTGTGATAATGGCGGGGGGTGGGGACAGGAGTTGCACTGGTTAGCTCTGATACGTGCCTATAAGAGATTCTTCCTTTATCCTAGAAAGGTTAGTCAGGGAGTGAGGAGGAGGAGGAAGGACCTTAGGTAAACTTTGGGGCCCCATTGTCTGTATATCTCTATCTACTGGAGCAGGAGAATGGAAAGTTCAGGTTGCAGACAGCTCCAAGGTGAATTTTTGTGCTGTTTAATTTTCTTTATTGCTCAATGAATGCCTGTGTCTGTGATGCTGACGTAAGTTCCTGAGAAGGAGGAGAAGTTCACACTGAACATAAACTTTCCATCCTCTAGCTGTCCAGCAAGAATGGGATATTCCCCAGGTGGCCTAAGCCTGCCTGGCTTCCTTTTCACTTTTAATTTGTGAGAGCAGAGGAAGGGCATGAGGAAAGCTTCCCAAATGCCCTCCCCCAGGCCTGCAGGCAACCCCTGAGAAGTGAGGGTGGTCCAGGTGTTGGAGGTCTGGAAAGAAGATGGCCCCTCCAGTCCCAGGGGGTAGCTTGGCTATGTACCTCCAGGCAGTATTTTTGCGGAAAGGGGAACTTTGTCAGTTCCCGGTTATGGATATTTGAAAATCACTTGGTACCGGGTGGCTCCATCCCTTGGCACTAACGTGGAATTTGTCACTAACCAGTGAACTCTCCAAGATGCTTTTAAATTTCCTTCATTCTCAGTTTCAAGATGCTGGAAAGAGCCCTTCAGAAGCCTTAGGGAAATTCAGCCATTTGGCGGGTGATGGGAGTATCAGAGATGAGAGGGCAGCTGGAAACTTCAGGAATTGCCTCCCACACTTAATTTGGGAAATGCCTGTACACCTTTATGGGCAATCAGATGCCTTCCCCAGTTGCTGGAGACACTGATGTGGGCTGGAAGGAATGCTGAGCCATGCGAGGGAGGGAAGCTGTGGCGGGAACACCCCCCTGGCCCTGACCTCATTGGCTCTGTGGCGCCTCACGGTGCAGCTGTTGGCTCTTTCAAGTTCTCACTTCAGGAAATAGCCGTCTCAAACAGAATATGCATTTGAGGGCAGAATGTGTAAATATTGCACTACTGTGTTATAACCGTCGGGAGCCTCACCGATGATGAAATGTCCCAGATGCTGGTGCTGGAAAGGTCCAGGGCTTTCCAAGCAAATATTTAGTTCATGGAAACATGAGTCATGCTCACAGAGGAGTATGGATTAACTCCTTCCTGGCAGCCAGCGAACCCAGCATCCTGGAGAACATGTGTTTAACCCAACAGCCCACCAACTACAGGAGCAAATTTATGGCCATGGCCACATCCTTTGTGTCCACTGATTACTAGGCAAATTAGGGTCACAGAGCTGAGCACACAGTGGGTGCTCAGTGAGTGCTCATTACCATCTATAGGGGCAACCACTTGCATCTTCTCCTCTGGGCTCTCATTGACCACACTAATTGCCAACCTTGGGATTAACTCTATCTTCTATTCCTACAAACCTGCAGGAAATGCCAAAGAACTTGCCAACATCCTGAAATATCATGTTGGTGATGAAATCCTGGTTAGTGGAGGCATTGGGGCCCTGGTGCGGCTGAAGTCTCTCCAAGGTGACAAGCTAGAAGTCAGCTCGGTGAGTGCCTGCAAATCAAAAGGCTGGCTGTGCCCTTCCACTAGGGCTCTAGGGCACATCTCATTGGCATTAGACACAAACACAACATTTATGACGCGTCCTGAATCTCTGAGTACAATTTGTGCAAAGAAAGAAAGAAAAGAGAGAATAGGGTCTTCAGAGAAATGAAGTGAAATTGTAGTTAGACAGGGTAAGAAGTACCAGATTTGCAGAGGAATAAAGCATCTGATTTGGCATCTGCCTAGGTGTTAGATCTTTCTTCTCCTAAGGAGATGGCAGGCAATTACTTCTGTGGCTTGGGAGATCAACACCCTGTCCTCATCCCAGCCCCCAAACCCAGGGGTTCACTGAGCTACACCATGAAGCAGACCATCTCAAGAGGCTTTCTCAGACCTGAAGCTTGCTCTGTGAGTCTCTCCTTGCTCTGCACACTGGTGATACTCATTCCACATTGGAGCTGGGTTCAGAGTGTCCCTACCTCGGAGGAAGAAAACAGATAGCCAGCCCAGCTCCATGAACCTCTCTGACTGAGCCGACAGAGATCTCTGACCTTTCTTAGAGGGGCTGCTCCTCAGTGTAAGGCGGCTTCTGCTCCCTGGTTCTCTCTACTGACCTTTAGCCATCCTTTGCTCACCAGTTCCTTGTGGGGACATGGACAACATGTAGGGAGATAGGCATGGGAATGAGTTGTTTTACTTCAGCAGGTCATGCTAAATCTCTGGCATCATTTCAGGTGTTGAGGGCCTTTCTGTCACAGGCGTCAGTGCCCCCCTTCCCCACTGTGTCCTGAGATAGATTTACCCTGGCTGGACTTCCTTTGAGATAATCCAAAGTTGAGGGCATCCAGGCAAAGTGGAAGGAGTGCATTGCTCAGAGCTGGAAGCCTGTCTGTATTCCCAGCTTCCCCACTTACTTAGTGTACAAGAGACACTGCCTCTCTTGAGTCTCAGTTTCCTCATCTATTAAATGGGATAATAACATCTACCCTCCTTGCCATACACTGCTGTGAGGAGTGAGTGGATTACACAGAAGAGCATTATGGCTGTACAGTGTGCTAAAGCCACACACAGGATGAGAATTAATCCACTAGACTGAAGATCTATAGAAGGCAATTCACCAAAGTACCCCCAGTACTTACGCAGGCGTTGGCATATACAGGCATGTAGTGCCGAATCCAAGAAATAAACATTTTTGACAGTCAACAATCACTCTGTTTTTCTTGTAGAAAAACAACGTGGTGCATGTCAATAAGGAGGCTGTCACTGAGCCTGACATCATGGCCTTGAATGGCGTGGTCCATGCCATCACCAGCGTTCTACAGCCTCCAGGTAAGACTGAGTGTCTGACATCCTGCAGACTCTGCAGCTGGTCCTTCTCTACAGACGTGGCAGCTGGTGCTCAATAGAAAAGCTGAGCTAGTCAGTATGTAATTGTGATGGTTAAACCATGCCCATGTGGGTGGCATCCCTGTGGCTGATTGAAAGTGACTTGGGAATTTTTGGCTTTGACTGCACCACAGTAAGGAAAGAAAGCAAGGATACATTGCTCTACCAGAAGCGTCCACCTGTCTCAGGTTCCCCCAGACAGAGCCCCATTGTCATTGCTGGATATGTGTGGATGCTGGTCACACAGTTCCTGGGACTCCTGTAGCATCTCACCTTGTGCGTGCCCTTTGCCTCCAGTGCAGTTGAACTTCAGTCTCCCCTCTCCTGACATGTGCATTTGCCCTTCTCAGAGCTCTCCCCATGGGCCAGACCCCACCATGAATTATGAAAAGCTATAGAGAAAAAATTTATTTGGAATGTGAGCTGGAAAGCCCACCAGTGCCATGCTACAAATGCCACACTGTGGTCTCTCTCCCTTACCAAAGCTGCCTTTTCTTTCTAGCCAACAGACCTCAGGAACGAGGGGATGAACTTGCAGACTCTGCACTTGAGATCTTTAAACAGGCCTCAGCGTTCTCCAGGGTAAGACGCCTACTAGGATTGTGCCTCACCAGAGCAGCTTTGGGCTTCTACTGGGGCCCAGACAGGAGCTTTTCAGCCCCTGTCTTCCTTGGCTGCTCCTCCAGGGCTCTCTCAAAACTTCTTCCCACTCTCAGTGGGGCATCCCCAGTCTCAGCCTTTGTCAAATTCAGAGAAAAGAACCTAGGCAACTGCAGCTTCTTTTGTGGGCCTCTGAGCCCCAGTTCATGGTGAAGCCACTTGCTGGTGAGAACAAATACAGCTCTGGAATTCACCATTCCAAGGTTGTCTTACAGTGGCCTGGCCTGCCCTAAGCCCCGGCCTCCAAGTCGTTCATCCGTGTGCCATGGCAGTGCCCATCCTGAGTGATGCTGAGGCTCCCCTGGGAGGTGTGCAGACTCTGGGTACAGGGACACCAAGCCAGCTCCACATGTGGAGCCTTAGCCCCACCTCTCGCTCAGAACCTCACTGACCCTTCCTGAGCTTTCTCTCTTTCTCCCTAGCTTGCGCAGGCCCCAGAGCCCCATTTGGGCTTGTTTACTGCTTTGGGTAGGGTAGAGCCTCTTAGGAATGTGGGGCACCTTGCAGAAGGTTTGCATTTCAAGAGAAGAGGCTATAGGCTGCAGTTCTGAATGTAGACAGCTGGAGCTCTAACATGTTATCTCACTTTTGAACAGAAGCGTTTCCTTAGTGCCTTCAAGAAAGGTTCTCAGCCCTGAGCTCCTCCTCCTAAGAGCCACCCCTGTGCAGTCCAGCTCCCCCAGCTCTAGGCTCTGGTCTCAGTAGGAATGGCTGCTGTGGGGGGATCCCAGGAATATCTACCTTATGCCCCACATGATCGGGGCTTGCATAGCTCCCTGGGGCCCTTCAGTTTCACTTTCCCTTTCCTCTTCTGAGTAGGGGTGGCATTTTTTTCTGAGCAAGGATGGCACTGGGCAAAGCCGCTTCCATAAGCAAGTGCAGGTATAATTTTCACTAGAAAACCTTATACCTTGTGTTTTTTTTCAGGCTTCCCAGAGGTCTGTGCGACTAGGTAAGTCTGATCTGGTTTTAAAGTCCTTACGGACCTATTTGGGCCTTTCTCCCAAGCAGCCCCAAGCCTGCCATCTGCTGTAATAGATAATAATATCATGGTGCAGTAAACAAGCCTGGCCTCTGGGGTCAAACCAGCGGAGGGAATTGGGGTAAGACCCAGAACACCCAATTTTCTTCTCCATAAGTTGGAGGTAATAAAGAGCAACGACCTTTTAGGGTTGATATGAGTTTTTGGCTTTGAGAGCCTGGGGAAGACGGCACAGGGGCTTGGCAGGAGCCCATGGTGAGGACGTGATTCCAAACTGGTAGACATAGAAAATCACAGTACATCAGGCATTGAGATGTGAAGTTTCACAAACTCAGAAGCACCTTCTATGTGCAAGAGTACTTGGCCCCCTGCCCCAAGATTCCGACAGTGTCCTAGACAGGCATGGAGAAGGCTGTGTCTTTTTACCTCCCAAACTTCTCTTTTCCAGCCCCTGTCTACCAGAGGTTACTAGAGAGGATGAAGCATTAGCAGCACGGACTGAAGGAGGAAAGCATCTCAGCAGCTCCCCACCAGTTTCTCTCGGTTTGCCAAAGAGACTGTTTAAATGTTTTTGATACCAGATGTCATCCGTCAATGTATATGGGCCACGCTGAAATGAGATCTGAGCCTTGGGCGGGTTGGGGAGGAGGGAAAGAGAAGTACTTTTTATTTTTTGTTCCCCCTAAACATGGCTGTTAACCCACTGCATGCAGAAACTTGGATGTCACTGCCTGACATTCACTTCCAGAGAGGACCTATCCCAAATGTGGGATTTCCTGCCTATGCCAAGTGCCTGCGAAAGGGAGCTGCACTACCGTGGGGCTCACAAGGTATGAATCAAGTAATCCAGCATATGGGAAGTCCTGGCACAGTCTGTGTAAAGCTCTTGCACAGCTGGAGAAATGGCATCAGAAGCTGAGTTGAACTGTTCTGTCAAATGTGTCTTGCATCTACATGTGGTTTGGACGCTTCTATGGGGCCCTGTCCAGGTAGAAAAGAAATGGTATGTAGAGTATGTAGAGCACAGATTTCCCGAATGCGACAGTGCCATGGTGTGTTTGTAATAATAAAACCAAAGAAACGTATGACTCACGTGCATGATATGGTGTGCTGTCCTGGGGATTCAGGAGGGAGCTGCCACTCTCCTTTACCCCTCAACTCCACCCAGGAGCAGCCCAGCAGGGTGCCCTGAGGGATGGACTTTGGGTCATTCTAGCAGCTGGCCCTCAGAAACTCAGATAGCTCATGAGGGTTGAACCTCTGTCTGTTTTGAGCTTCTTTTCATGTCTCCCTTCCCCAGCACTGGGGTTTGAGTCCTCAGTATTCACTTCGCCAGCCCTTTCCTCCGGAATCACTTTGAAGCATCTCCCTCCCACACTGTGATCCCTGCCTCTGTGATGGACTTCTGAATCCTCAGCACTACCCTGGGAGGGGCTTGCCAGCTCAGTCCCATCACACAGGTGAGAAGAGTGAGACTCCAGAAAGGGAGAACCATGGGTAACACCGATTCTGGCTAAATGGGGACTGACTCCCAGGACCACTATGTGACAAGAGAATGAGCTCAGGTTTTCCCGGTCTGTACCCTCTGTCACAAGCCATGATCAAATCCTGTCCGTGCTCTTTTAATCTCCATCATCTAGCAGGTGTGTCTAACCTTTTTTTTTTCCTGCCTCACGTTGGAAGAAAGAATTGTTGTCTTGGGCCACACATTAAATACACAAACGCTAATGAAAGCTGATGAGCAAAAAACAAAACAAAACATGAGCATAATTTCTGTGATATCCAATACCACAGATAAGCAAAACAGGCCTCAAATAATCCACATGACCTGCGATGTTCTTGGCACTCTGACACATAGTAAGTATCAGTGGCTGTGGTATCATTGCTTCCTACCTGTGTGGCTTTGAGCCAATCACCTGATTTCTGCATGCCTCTTTTGAACAGGGAGAAAACTGTCATGTCTACTTACAAGAGGAGCCATATAAAATGCTTGGTGCAACATTCAGTAGCCTTGTTGTTATCATGCTCTCTGGGACTGCCCAGTATCCATGCAGCTATGTTATTTCTGTTTTTCCCAAAGGATGGGAGGAACTTCCCACCTGCCCACAGTCCTCTCTGCCAATGCCGAATCCCTCCAGCAGGTGGAGCTCGTTCCACTTCCTGGACCCAATGACCCAAAGACGTGTCTGCCGCACTACTGCGGTCAGTCCTCCACTGCTGAGAATAGAGCAATGGTGGAGGCAGACAGAGTCCCTTCCTTAAATAGCTTCCAGTGTGGAGAAAGACAGACATTGCATCAATCCATTAAAATCATTCATCCATTCATTCCACAAATATTTGTGAAGGCCACCTATGTACATTCCCACATTAGGCCCTTGCAACAGAACCAACCTTGTTCTCATGAGGCTTCCCTATTGATGGAGAAGAGAAATGTCAATCAGCTAATGGCACTGTGGACTGTGTGTCCCTGGGGGCTCAAGAATATCATATGGGTCTGTGGCAGATAATGAAGGAAGTAGAGGAAGGGATATCCGGAAGCTCCCAAAAGTGGGGGAGAGGAGAGCAATGGAAGGAACTCACCTGGAGGGAAGGGGCAGGCCAGGGAGTTCAGGAAGACTGTGTCCTGCAAGGGGAGGCTTAGCCCTACAGCCCCTCAGCCCACCTTCCAGGCAGCCACAGGGGTAGGGTTGCCTGTGCTGGCCTCACCCAAGCTGGGTGTCCTGCACCCAAAATACACACACTCGGCCTTTTCCAAGACTCCATCATAACCCAAAGAAATGGTTAATATAACTTACAAAAATCCTTAAATTTAAAATAAAAGTCACCACAAGACCCTTATAAATGCCAAATGCTAAAATCTGTTTAAGGCCCTTCCTACAACTCCCCTCCATTTGTCCCCCAACCAGCCTTACCTCAGTCCCCCAATAAGGGGGGCTCCACTCTGCTCTCTAAACTCTCCCTGGAGAGTCCTCCTGTGGCTGAGAACCAAGTACAGCTTTCCCCTCTCTGTTTTGGGTGCTAAATGCCCACACCCCTTCTGTTTCTCACAGAGACTCAGGCTGCATGCTAATTAGGGCTGCCATCTGGAGGACAGGGGTGCCTCCAGAGCTGGGTGATGGGGAGGGAGGTGTGTGTTGTCCCACGCCCCAGCCCATCTGAAAGCTAGAGGGCAGCCTGAGCCCAGGGGAGGTAGCTCAGGTGTCAGAAGAGTCCTGATTGCCGAGCCCCAGCCAAGGGAGGAAAGGGAGGAAGAAAGGAGCAGGGCCCTGGCCTACTTCTCTCTCTGCTGTCACTCTGGGACTACAAGGCCTTTTGGGATATAAGACTGTGTAGATCCTCAGCATTGGGCCCAGAGAACTTTCAGGATGGGGCACGCCCTCCACACACAGTAGGCAGGGGGTGCAAAACCCTGGGCTCTTTGGCCAACTGAGAGGCCCCCCAGCTAAGGGGCCAGTGGGGCCTACCTCACTGGGCTGTGCTCTTATGTGTGTTATCTTTTCTGTTCATTACACTGGTGCTATGAAGTGGCTAAGTACTGTGAGAATTCTCACTTTGCTGTTGCAGAATCAAAGCTTAGAGAGGTCGTTTGCCAAATGTCAGAATAGGAAGAGGCTGAAACACAAACCTGGTCCTTTTGACTTTGGAGCCCACACTCTCAACCCCTGCTCCTTTCTGCCCATCCGCCCCAGAGCCCAGTAAGGGAAGCCCAGGCAGCCCCAGGCAGCCCCAGGCAGCCCCAGGCAAGTAGATGTGGCTGCCAGGCTGGTCAGAAAGGGCTCAAAACCCCCAGCTCTCCTGAGAAGCCCATGCAGGCCAGGTTTTTGCTGGTCCCACCTAGAACACAACCTGTTTCCATGATGCTGGGGGATGGGGAAGAAGCAGCTATGACCAGGGGTACCCAGCCCCATCTGGATGACAGGAAAGAAGAGAGAGGAAAACATGCCTCTGTGCCTGAAACCATGAGCCACTGTTACGCTCACAGAGGAGCTGCCTGGAATATTATGCTCAGAATTCTTTTCAAAGCCAAGAGAGAAAGCCATGGAATGAGGGATGGGCTGGGCCCAGTGCCCTGTCCAGAGAAGTCAAATGGGGCCGCCTTTGGCCCTCCCTCCCTGGCAGGAAAGAAACATATCCACTCCAGAGAGCCAGGGAGGCAGCCCAGAAAATAAGTGGTAGGAGTCTGGGAAAACCTGCTACACACACACTCACCACACTCACACACACCCACACCCAAACACACCCTGCGTGGGCCTAACAGACTCAAGACGGAGCCTCAGGTATAGACGACTTACACGTCACACCCACTCATGGGTGGGGAGAGGGCTGAAGGCCTGGGGGAGGAAGGCTGCCCCTTATCCTCTGGCCTCAGGCCTGTTGGGGGAGGCCAGCCAGCAGTCCCACCAGGCCATGCATTGTGAAGCTCGCCATAACCATTGCCATGAGTGAGGGAGGTGGAGGAGTTTACTGAAAAGACGAGCTGGCTGAGGAAGAGAATGTGGGCTGGAGATGCTCAAAGTCTCCGAAGCAAATGTGAGAGGGTTTGTGTGGCTATAGGGGACAGGGGAGAAAAAATTCCTCCAGTGAGAGGTCTGGGAGGCAGACTGCTGGGCCTTGTAGACTGTATTAAGAATTTTGGACATTATCATAGGACTGTGAAAAGGAACTAGAGGGTTTTAACTAGGGGAGAGGGATGGAGGGAGATGTGCCATGAAAGATTTTTTTATTGTAATAAAATACACAATAGAACTTACCACTTCAGCCATTTTAAGTGTATAGTTCAGGGGTGTTATGTACATTCACAATGTCGTGCAACCATTTTCTAGAACTTTCAACCTGGCAAACTCAAACTCTGTACCCATTAACCACTGACCTGCCATGCTCTCCTCCACCTACCCCTTGATAACCTCTATTCTGCTTTCTGTCTCAAGATACTCCATATAATTAAAATGGCATAATATTTGTTATTTGTGCTTGGCTTATTTCACTGAGCACAATGTCTTCAAGTTCATCCATGCTGTCACATATTGCATGATTTCTTTCCTGTTTAAGGCTGAATAATATTTCATTGTGTATAGGTAGACCACTAATTTTGCTTATCTTCTCATTCTTTCATGGGCATTAGGCTTGCTTCTACTTTCTGCTAAATCTAATGTCATGATGTATTTCCCTGGTGTTTTCTTCCAAGAATTTAGCTCTTAAAGTTAGGTTTCTGATCCATTTTCAGTTAATTGTTGTATATGATATAAACTAAGGTACAACTATATATATTTTTTTAATCTAAATGGTCTTAGCACCCTTGAAAATCATATGATCTTATAGGCAAGGGTTTATTTCTGGGTTCTCCTATTCCTTTGTTTTGTCAGCATTTATGTAAGTACCATACTGTTTTGATTATTGTAGCTTTATAGTAAGTTTTATAATCAGAAGTATGAGTCCTCCAACTTTGTTCTTTTTCAAGATTGTTTTGGCTATTTGGAATCCCTTGAGATTTTGTATAAATTTTAGGGTGGTCTTTAGAAGTAAGCATCATATAAAAAATTTTAAGGTGACTTCTTTAATTTATGCAAAAATATCACTGGATTTTGATAGGGATTACATTGAATCTGCAGATCACTTTGGATACTATTGACATCTTAACAATATTGTCTTCTAATTAATGAACATGGATGTCTTTACCTTTATTTGTGACTTTTAAAATTTCCATCAACAATGCTTTACAGTTTTCAGTATGCCAGTCTTTCATATCCCTGGTTAAATTGATTCCCAAGTGTTTTATACTTTTTGACACTGTTATAAATGGAATTATTTCTTCAATTTCCCAATAGATTTTTTAAAGACTGTTTTGGCTTTGATGTGAAGGATAGGTTGGGGTGGAGGTAGGAGTAGAGGCTGGAAATTCCGTTTAGGAGGCTACTACCTTCTCCTTGTTGCAGGAAAATGGTGAATTAAAACAGACAGACACGTCAACAATATAGAGGAAGGAACCTTTAATTGCTGGCAGGAACTCAGGTGCCTCAAGGCATAAAATGCTGAGCTCCAGGGAACAGTTTTTTCCAAACTCTTGTTTACCTTTTTCTTCTTCAGT